GGCAAGGGCCTGGAGAAAGACAATGCTTGGTAAACTAGAAGAAGCCTTAATTGTGTGGATTGACAAAATAGATGCAACAGTGAGTTTAAGTACAGCAGCAATTGGTGTAGGATTAAATAGTAAATTGTTCTCTTTTATGTAAGTTTGCTATGAGTTGAAGCTAACTTGATGGTATTTAATAAGTATCTACTTTTGTGCCTTCTAATTTTATTGGTAAAAAGGGTAATCTTGGCCTTGGACTTATCAAACTTTTTCCAGGTGATTTGTTATATGCATCAAGAACTTTATGAATCACTGGTCAAGGATTTGAGTGTATGTATAAATTTGTTCTTAGAATTCCATTGTGGATTGAAAGATAACAGAGCAAACTGATTTTCTGTTCAATAATTTATGCTTGTTATGTATTTTGTGAAGGTGGCGAGTCTTCATCTCATTTACTTTGGGTACATTGTCTGGAAGGCCTGTTGTTGTTGTTGTTATGTGTGATTGAGTCACCTGCTACTCATAACAACTCTGCAATAGCTCTGAACCCTGCCAGATTCTGAACCAGTCTCACTGACTCCAATACACCTACCCCATTACTACAGTTACTGTGCCAAGCCATCTCATCCAAGGTCTTCCTGTCCTGCGCTACCATTCCTCTACCGTTCTGAGCATGATGTCCTACTCCAAGGACTGGCCCTCCTGGCCCTACTATGCCTGAAGTGTGTGAGATGGAACCTCAAAATCCTTCCCTCCAAGGAGAAAGTTGGTTCACTCTCTCTAAGACAGACATGCTTGTTTTCTTTGTCGTCCATGGTATGTTCATTACTCTTTTCCAGCACCACAGCTCAAAGGCTTCTATTCTTCTATCATCTTTAGTCATTATCCAGCTTTCTTACGCATATAAAATAATTATGAAGACCATGACCTGAATCAGGTACACCTTAGTTTCTAGACTGACATCATTCCTCTTTAGAATTTTGGAGAGGTCTCTAACAGTGGATTTCTGCAATGAAATTTGCATTTTTGTAGGGTGTTTTTTGTTTGTTTATTTGTTTTAAGGGAGCTCTGGTAGCCTAGTAGCAGGAAGCTGTGCTGCAATCCTGAAGGCATGTGTTTAGAATCTACTAGATGCTCTGCTGGAGAAGGAGGGGCAATCTCCTCCTGTGCCAGTCAGATCCAATTTGATGGTACACGGTGGGGGGGGGGGGGAATGGTGTGGGTTTTTTTGTTTTGCTTTGTTTTTGTTTTTAAATTTCTTGACTGCTGCTCCTTGGAGGCAAGGATTCTGGGTCTCCGTCTGACATACTTTGTACATGTTGTAAAGAGAGACAGGTCCTTGAAGAGGGACATCATGCTTGGGAGGGTGGAGGGACGGTGCAAGAGTGGAAGAGTGGCTGGGGTAATCGGGATGGGTGTGTCAGAGGCAGTGAGATTGGCACAGGATAGAGCAGGGTTTAGGACTATTATACATAGGGTTGTTATGAGTCGCAAGTGACTCGACAGCACATAACAACAGTGCCAAGAATGTTGATTGTGGAGCCGAGCAAGTTGAAATTGTTAACAATCTCAGTTTCTTCACCATCTATCATAGTGCTGCCAATTATTTCAGTGGTGGGAATCTTTGTCTTCTTGATGCTGAGTTTCAATCCATATTGCAGTCTACAGTCCTTGATCTTCTGCAGCAAATGCCTCAGGTCCTCCTCTGTTTTAGAAAGCAACTTTATATATCTGTATAATACAAGTTGTTGATGAGTCTTCAGTCAAATCCTAATGTCACATTCCTGCTCATAAAGTCAAGTGCCCACATGATCTGTCCCAAATACAGATTGAAAAGGAGTGGAAACAGGATGCATCCCTGACTAATTTCTTTCCTAATTTTGAACCATGCAGTGTTTCATTGCTCTGTTCCAGCAACTACTTCCTGGTCCAAGTATAAGTCTCTCATAAGCACAATCAACTGTTCTGGGATTCCCATTCTTCTCAAGCTTAACCACATTTTTTTTGTGATCCACACAGTCAAATGCCTTTAAATTGTCAGTGAAACACAGGTAGAGGTTCCTCTGTTATTCTTTGCTTTCAGCCCAAATCCACCTGCATTGGTAATAAAGTCTGTAGTGTCACAGCCTCTTCTAAACCCAGCTGTGTTTCTGGTAGTTCTCTGTCAATAGACTGAGTAATTTTTTTATAATTTACAGCAGGGTTTTGCTTGTGTGTGATATTGTTTGATAATTTCCATACTCTGTCAAGTCACCTTTTTTTATAGCAGGAATAAACATGGATTTCTTCCAGAAAGTACTAGTCCCTGGGAAAAAAAATCATCATGCTTGGAAAAGTAGACAGTGAAAGAGAGAAAGACCTTCAACAGGATGGATTGATGAAATGATTGCAACTATGAGCTTAAACACAGTAGACATGTGAGGATGCTGCGTGGTGCCTAGTAAGGCTTCCTTTTATAGTACATTGTATCCGTTTCTGTGAGTTGAAACTAATTCAAAAGCACACAGAACATTTCATAGGGCAGCTTGGGAAGACAAAGCAAAGTAGTATTATGAACTGTATAAAGCTGAAATCAGAAAATCAAAAGCTACAAACTTGCTCAACATTTCTTAAGATGAAGGAAGTGAAGAACAATTCAAGCCTTGAGTTACAATACATAACGATACTATGGGCAGAATAATGAATGACCCAGGAAGCATCAAAAGAGGATGGAAGGAGTACATAGAGTCACTGTACCAAAAAGAATTGGTAGACACAAAAGAATTTTATGAAACAACATATGTTCGGAAGCCAATGATGGAGGAAGTTCAAACTGCCTAAAGGAATTGGCAAAAACTACTTCCCAGGAATTGGTAGAGTATTATTTGACATGTTTCAGTAAAAAGATGTAGCCCTGGACATGCTCACCAGGCTGTGCCAAGAAATCTGGAGGACAACCACCTGGCCAACTGACTGGAAGAGATACAAATTTATTCTTATTTAAAAAAAAAAAGGTGATCTAATAGAATGTGGAAATTATTGAGCAATATCACTTGCAACCAAAATCCTACTGAAGATTATCCAAAAATGACTAGTACATTGCCAGAACTACCAGAAAAAACAAGGTGGATGTAGAAGAAGCCATGACACTTAGGACATCATCACCAATGTCAGATGGATCATGGCAGAAAATAGAGTACCAGAGGAATATCTGTCTGTATTTCATTGACTGTGCAAAGGCATTTCAATGTGTAGATCACAACAAATTGTGGATAAGCTTGAGAATAATGGGAATCCCAGAACCAACTGATTGTGCTCATGGTAAACCTATACTTGGACGAAGAGATAGACATTAAAACAGAGCCAAGAAACACTATATGGTTCAGAATGAGGAAAGGAGTACATCAGGGGTGGGTCCTGTCTCTATATTTTTTCAGTTTATTATTAAAGATTAAAGAACATTTGGGAGGCTGGACTTTATGAGGAGGAATGTGGCATCAGTATTGCTGGAAGATCATAACCAACCAGTGTTATGTCGATGATACAACCTTGCTTGCTGAAACTGAGGAAGGCCTGAAGAATTTTCTGCGGAGGATTATGGACTGTAGTCCTGAAATATAGATTGTCAACATCAAGAAAATGAAGATTGTAAAATGGTACCACCATTCTGGAAGGCAGAACAAAGAGGAGTGTCCTAGAGAGGGTAAAACCTTGGAGGCAAGAATTTTGAAGCCCCATCTGACATACTTTGGACATGTTGCCAGGAGGGACCAGTCCTTAGAGAAGGACATCATACTTGTACAGGTTCAGGGATAGTGCAGGAGAGGAAGACCCCAAATAAGATGGATTGACACAATTACTTGGATAATTAGTGAGTGTGTCAGAGACAGTGAGATTGGTTCAGGTTAGAGCAAAGTTTAGAGTTGTTGTACATAGAGTTGCTGTGAGTCATGGTCAACACAAAGGCACATAACAACAACTTCGGAAAATTAAGGAAACATTTAAAATGCATTTCTTGCTGAGAGGAATGTATGAAGGAGATAGGAAAAACAGGGATTGAGAGCTTTGGTAAAGATGTGGGACCTAATCTAAGGCTAAAAAGTGTATAGTTCAGTATCATTGGACTGACAGAGGGAAAGGAGAGTAATAGAAGCATAGTGTTGACATCCATAGGAGTGGATTTTGTTTCGTGAATTACAAAAAATCCTAAACAGTAAATGGATGATATTCCTGAAATCCAAATTTGACATTTGATCCTCCTGATGTTAATGGTAAAGGAATAGATTCATTTTTTTCAAATTTACTGCTTATTAAGAAATAAAGACCTGCAGTGTTAGCTTAAAAGTTAGCTTTTCTAGCCATAGCTACGTGAACTGCAGATGCATAATTTTGAAAATTGTCAACATCTGTGAGACTAGAATAAGAGAAATAGTGCTTCCCACTCTGAGTAGTATGACTCTGGCATGAGAGAGAGACTGGTGAGGCCAAGACCTTGATGGTGAGATCTTGTTGTTGGTGGTGGTGAGACTATGGCATTTCTGTGGAGAAACCACAAGGTATTAACTACAGGATCCCTGAGATAAAAGCTATAGATTTTGCTGTTTTTGCTAGATGATAGAAGGGAAAGCTAACTGCTGAATTGCAGACTGGAGCCTAGACTAATTGAAAATTTTGCCTTAGGTCTACTGGACTAAACCTTTACTTACATTGTGAGATACTCTTTACCTCTCCCACTCTCCAGCCTAGTTCCCTAGTAAACGTCACTCCTGGTACAATGAGTGAAGTTTCTGAGTCAATAAAGAATATCAAACCCAGTGATTTCTGGGAACAAATAGATGAAGCAGCATGGGGGCATGACATGTCTAACCTAGACACTATCTATTTGCTGCTGTGGAATTGATGGGAAAGTTTCCCCTTTATAAAGTGGGTAGAGATCAGACTTCCATCCCCATATTACAGCTTTCCTTTTGCTGGATATGTATTAAAATCATTAATGTAAAATAAGATTCTATATTAAAATTACATTTATATTTAAATAGGATGAGGAGAAGAAACCGAAAGACAAGGAGATATGGAGTTTTGGACACCAACATAGAAAACATGGAATTGACACCTTTAGAACAAGATGATGAGGATGAAGATAACACATTGTTTGATGCCAACCATCCTCGAAGGTAAATATTCATTTAATTATGTGACTGTGAATGTAAGTTTTTAACAGATAATTTGAAAAGAGAAAGAATTTTACTTAATAGATTTTATTCTATCAGTTCTATTTAAGGAAATACTGTTTGTTCCACAGCTAATGGCTTAAATGCATATTGTTTTGCTAAAATAATGAGAATGCTATTGTTGTTTTTTTGTTGCCTGTCATTGAGTTGGAACCAACACATAGCTGACCATCTAGTGTGTTTTCAGAAGCAGAATCGCCCAGGAAAAGATTGTCCATCCTTCTCCCACAGAGCAGTTCATAAATTCAGACCACATGTCTTTGGGATTGTAGTACAGTTTCTTACCACTAGGCTACCAGATATCTTTTTGCTCAATTTTACCTATTTAACTGGTGTTAATAGTAATAGATAAGTACCAAGGTTTGAAGTTTTTAGTGTTTTAGAGTGACATGTTTAATAAACTTTATTTTTGTATTCTTAAAATAGATTAGTGTTATAGTTTTGGTTTTGATTTTGTTATAAACAGGGCCTTCTAAAATAGTTGTAAAGCTGCAGCAAGAAAGTATAAACTCAGATATGTTGTCATTCAGTGTTAGAATTGTTTCTAAGGGACTTGGAAAACTGAAATGCATATATAATTGTTTTCTAGACAAATGAGCTGAGTATTTCATTCAAGAAAAAGGTAAAATAGAGGGAGATTTTTCAGGTTAATGAAACTGTGCATTTATAACACAAGTATAAATGAAGTGAGTATGGGAATCTTGGAATTAATGAAAAAAAAATCTCGTGAAAAATAGGGTGGCCAGGATGGACCAATCCTTGGAGAAGTATATCATGCTCAAAAGGGTGGAGAGATTGGAGTCAGTGAGACTGGCTCAGGATAGGGCAGGGTTTAGAGCTGTTGTATATAGGGTTGCTATAAGACACAGTCAACTGGACTTCACATAACAGAAACATTTCTTTGTGGCTTTGTTGTATCCCCGTGGATTTCCTTGAGATTTTCTAGGTAACACAATCCTATCATCTAGTGATTGGAATAGCTTTACTTCTTTTCCTCCTAACTTTGTCTCATTTTAATTTTTGACCTTTTTTTATTTTTAAGTTGTAATATTTAGAAGAGTATTCAAAGTGAACATCCTTGACTTATTTTCCGTTTCAAGGGAAAAGTATTTGTTCTTTCACAAGTAAATATGTTATTTGGTGTCATCAAATCAGAGGGGACTCATACTTCACCCTCCAGTGGGATTTTTGAGGCAGTAAATTTTATGGGATTAGATTGCTCATTTTTCTTTCAGATCATTTGGTGGATTTGAATCATTGTCTTTAGATTTACAAGGCAACTTCTTACCACCAAACTACCACAGCTCCCTTTTGTTAATTACATGTACGTGCCATCACTCTTAGCACCAGCAGTCAGGAAATCAAAAGACTGAATGCATTGGGAAAATCTGCTGTCAGGGACCTCTCCAGAGTACTGAAAAGCAATGATGTCAGTCTAGAGACTAAGGCACACCTAATCCAGGCCATGGTCTTTGCTGTGTGTCAGAGAGCTGGACAGTGACTAAGGATGACGGAAGAATTGGTGTCTTCGAGTTGTGGTGCTAGAATAAGTCTTAAATGTACCATGGACTGCCAAGACAGTAAATAGGTCTGTCTTAGATAAAGTAAAACTGAGTTTCTCCTTGGAGGCCAGGATTTTGAAGCTCCATCTCACATCCTTTGGACACATGGTCAGGAGGAACTGATTCTTGAAGAAGGACATCATACTCTGAAGGGTAGAGGGACAGTGTAGGAGAGGAAGACCCTGGATGAGAGGTAGATTGATATAGTGACAGAGGTAATGGGATTAGGTGTGTCAGTGATACTGGACCAGGACAGCACAGATTTCAGAGCTATTGTACATAGGGTTGCTGTCAGTCGCAGGCTGCTCAAAGGCATATAACAGCAACAACATCAAATTTTGTAGACTCTCTCTATTAGAAGGTATCAATAAGATTGCAACCATTCCAGATTGCTGAGACCTCTTTTTATGAATGATGTTTATTTTTTTTACAAATTATATTTCTGTCACGGTTGTTTTGTTGTTGTTTTTTTTAATTCTTTAGTCTCTTAGTATGGTAAATTGTATTAATTTTTTATGCTAAACTAACATTCCCACATTAAACCTTCATTTGTCATAATAGCCTTTCTATGTAGTGTTGAATTTTATTTGCTAACTTGCAAATGTTTCTTAAGAACTATTTAATTGGTATTCATTATATATATAGACATAGAAAGAGCCTATGGTGATGAAGGAAGAACTTCAAGCTTCTCTAAAGGAATTGTCAAAAAGCAGGGCCCCAGGAATTGATAGCATACCAACTGACATATTTCAACAAACAGATGCTGCCTTGGTCTTGCTCACCAACTTGTACCAAGAAATCTAGAGAACAACCAACTGGCCAGCTGACTGGAAGAGATCCATATTTATTCCCAATCCAAACAAAGGTGACCCAACAATATCACTAATATCATATGCAGACAAGATCCTGCTGCAAATCGTTCAAAAACGAGTGGAACACCACATCAACAAAGCTATCAAATTTGCAGGCTGAGTTTAGAAGAGGCTGTGGCACTAGGGATATTATAGGTAATGTTAGATGAATCTTGGCTGAAAACAGAGAGTACCAGAGGAATGTCTATCCGTGTTTCATTGACTATGCAAAGGCTTTTGACTATGTGGATCACAACAAACTGTGGCTAACTCTGAGAAGAATGGGAACCCCAGAACATTTGTGCTTATGCAAAACCTATACTTGGGCCAGGAGGTAGTCATCAGAACAAAGCACAGAAACACTTGATGGTTCAAAATCAAGAAAAGTATATGCCAGGAATGTATCCTACCTCCATACCTTTTCAATCTGTATGTGGAACTGATCATCCAGGAGGCTGGATTCTATGAGGAGGAATATGGCATCAGGAATGGAGGAAGACTCATCCTCATCAACAAGCTGTGTTATGCAGATGACATATCCTTGCTTGCCAAAATTGAGGAAGACCTGAATCATTTACTGTGGAAGATCAAGGACTGCAGCCTTCAAAAATAAAGATTCTCACCACTGGGTTGATTAGCAGCATCATGATAAACGATGAAGAGATTGAGATTGTTAACATCTTCAGTTTGCTTGGCTCCACAATCAACACTTTTGGTACCAGCAGTCAGGATACTAAAATTAGATTGGGAAAATCTGCTGTTGGAGACCTCTCCAGAGTACTGAAGAGCAACAGTGTCAGTCTGTGATGTAATCTTCCCATCCAGGACCCCAAACTGCATCACCACTTGGGACTACTATCTTACCCTCTTTATCTCTTTCCAGTCACTCTTTATTATTAAGGCATCTTGACTGCGTGTTTGATCAGTTTCTGACTGTAAAAGTTGATAGAAATCTTCTGTGTCCTCATTTTTGTTCTAGTTGTTGGTTCATATATTTGAATGATAGTGATATTCACTGGACTTTCTTGTATGTGTATGCATATTATCCTGTCACTCACAACATTTGGAAAGTCAGCTGTCAGGGACCTCTCCAGAGTACTGAAGAACAGCAGTGTCAATCTGGAGACTAAGTTTCACCTGATCCAGGCTATGCATCATAAAGCTGGACAATGACTAGAGATGATAGAAGAATCATCAGTGCCTTTGAATTGTGGTGCTGGAGAAGAGAAGAGTATTGAATATATCATGGACTGCTAGAAGAACAAACCGATTCAACCTGGAGAGGGTGAGACCAGGTTGCTCCTTGGAGGGAAGGATTCTAAAGCTCCATCTGACACACATGTTGCATGGAGGGACCAGTCCTTGGAGAGGGATATCATGCTTATAAGGGTGGAGAGACAATGCAAGAGAGGAAGACTCTGGATGAGATAAATTGACTCAGTGTCTGAGGCAATGAGGGTAGGTAGGTGTGTCATAGACTATGAGTTGCAAGCAACTTGATGGCACTAACTATATATATATATATATATATATATTTATTTATTTATTTATATATATATATATATATACACACACACATACATGTATGCATTATATTTATTATTTTATATTGTAGCTTTGAAAGTGTCTTAAATACCTATTAACCAGTGATTCATTTGTCCCTGTATTTACAAAAATTTGTAAAACATTGCTGTTTTTTTCTTTGAATATTTGATAAACTTTACCAGTGAAGCCATGAGGGCTTGGGAGCTTTCTTCTAGAAATTTGGTTTTTTATTTTTATATACATCTATTATTGTTGTTGTGTCTGATCTAGTTGGAATCAAACCATAGCTGACCCTCTGGTGAGTATTCAGAGAAAGCTAGTCACACAGAAGGAGATTATCCATCTTTCCCCCATGAAGCAGCTGGTGGATTTGAACCATCAGCCTTCTGGATTGCAGCACAGCTTCTTACCATAACTTCTGCCACTATAGTTCTCTCATACATATAAGGTTTTAGACTTTATATCATTTGTGTTAATACAGAAAAATTCTTAGAAATCTGCTTATAATGATGTTGTTATGTGCTGTGGAGTCGCCTATGACTCATTTTTTTTTAATTAACAAACTGTGATATGCAATGATACGATCTTACATTGGTCAAATCTGAGAGCCGGACAGTGAATGAGAAAAGAATTGATTCCTTTGAGTTGTGGTATTGGAAAAGAGTGCTGAACATCTCATACAAAATAACAAACAGATGTATCTTGGGATAATTGCAGCCAGAGTGTTTCATGGAGACAGAGATGGTGAAGCTTTGTCTTTCATACTCTGGCCAAGTTGCTTGGAGACTGTTCCAAGGACATCATGCTTGGAAAGGTGGATGATCAGCAAAAACAGGGATGAAGATCCCTCAATGAGAGAGATTGACCTGATACATAAGATATATTTATGGGAAAGTATTGGGAAGATGCTTCTGGTTATCCTTCCTGTGAAAGATGGATTTTAATTAGTTGCTACTGAGTGAAGGCCACGTCCTGACAATTCCATGTCT